GATGGCAATTTTCTTGCGCAAATCAACAAACATTAGTTATGCGTCACGTGTTGCGTTTAGTCAATGTGTAATAAGCAATAGTTTTTAAAATGTATGCGGCCGAAATGAGATAGTACGGGGAAAATTGTATGTAGGTTTAAATAGCCATTTGATTGACACGATTTTTCTTCTTTCTTTTTGAAACTACCCACATGCCATAATTATCAAGTTCATAGCGGTTTACCCACTAACCTCATTTTTTTATTTTTTAATTTGAGCGGAAAATTATTGAACCGATTATCTTGACGTCATACAAGGCCTCTACCGAGTAAATTCGCTAATCTTGATTCGTTGATTCCTTAACGATAATTTTATTCTTTTTTTCTTGATATTTTTTTTTGTTTTTTTTTTGTTTTTTTTTGTGTTATGTGTTGTTTTTTTGTTTTTTTTTTGTCTTGTTTCAACTTGCTTATATAACAAATGATTGGAATTGTATATAAGCAGCCTCTTGTTGGTTAGCTGTTTTGTTTTTGTTTTTGTTTTTGTTTATGTCCAACATGTGAAACCTTTGTTATACCAAATCTGATGATTTGACAACGAATAGGCTATTTTGTTGTAAAATACGAGGAAGTTGTCGTTCGGCCGCTTCAGTACTGCCGGCAAAATATATTAATAATATGTTTGTTTGGATTATTTTATAGCGCGCAGTCCAGTGTTTTCGGCCATGTTCGAGCACGAAATGGAGGAGAGAAAACAGAACAGAGTCGACATTACCGATGTCGAACAAGATGTATTTAGAGAAATGCTGCGATTCATTTACACAGGGAAGGCCGCGAATCTCGAGAAAATGGCAGACGACTTGCTCGCTGCCGCGGACAAATATGCGCTCGAGAGGTTGAAGGTCATGTGCGAAGAGGCGCTTTGCACGAGTTTAGCCATCGACAATGCAGCAGATATCCTTATTCTTGCCGATCTGCATAGTGCAGATCAGCTGAAGGCGCAAGCTATAGATTTCATAAACACGTAAGTTTTTTTTTTCCTCCTCCGTGAATTATGCAACAGCTCGTTGTTATCCAATTTGTATGCGATTTTTTTTTCTCTCTCTATTGTGTACGTACGTATTTTTAAATTGCGATGTATCAGCAATCATAATTATGAGGCTGCGTGTATTTATTACGTATTGGCGTATTGTTGGATTGGCCATTGGCTCGCGTTATCCAATTATGTTACGCCAATAATTATTTTATCGTTAAGTGTGTTTATCGAACACGAAAAAAGAAAATGATTTTAATTTCTTTAATCGTGGAACAACATTCAATTAGATTAACCATGAAAATGTTTAAAATTGTCGCTGGAAGGATAATTTATTGAATATTCATCGAAAATTATTATCAATAATATTGTTGCTATAATATTGCTGTTGTTGTAGTAGTAGTAGTTGTTGTTATTATTATTATTATTATTAAGATCTTAAGCTTTTGCGTCTTATTGAAAAAGTTAATTTAAAAAAAGAATCAGCCACACTGATAATGGTTGTTTACAGGAAGGGATGAGATACATTATGATGATATATTGCACAAGCGCAAGTTAATACAATTTTTTTTGCATATAATTTTCATTCTTGCCTCTATTTACCTCTTGTTTGAATTTTACATAAAAAGCCATTTGTTTCTACACGGCATTAGATGCTACTTTGACTACGAGGCATATAAGATTCATTTTACATTTACATAATCGATCGGCGGAGACGTAGAGCGAAAAATCACTTTGCTTTCAAGCTCAAATTATGTTATTATAGTATTCGAATTGCACCTTGTAACATTTTAAGCAGCCATGAAACTTATTTCTCGGAAAGGCTCTACGAGCTCAAAAGAGAACGTTTGTTTAAGTGCCGGTGCACAACTTTTACAATCTAATGCTAATCAGCAGGTACTCCGATTAATAATACTACTTATCTCTGTGGTTTCAGGCATGCAACTGATGTGATGGAGACAACGGGATTCAAGTCGATGGTAAGTTCGCATCCAAACTTGATAGCGGAGGCTTTTCGGGCACTTGCAACCCAACAGATTCCACCTATCGGACCGCCACGGAAACGAGTTAAACAAAGCTGAAAGCAGTCACCCCTAGCTCCGGGTACAACAACATCACCCCCGCCTCTGTTACACCCTTCTTGACTTTTGTGCAAAGTGAAAGGGGAGTAGTGTTAAATAAATGTTTCATAGTGCGCCAGCCTTTGAGCCACTTAAAATGAAAAAACAAAAACAAAACCGAAGCTATTTAAGAGACGGATTAAGACTATAGTGTCTAGTGGAGATAAATATTGAAAAAGAGAGATGGAAGAAGGCGAGGCGAAGGTGAAGGCCAGTTATAACGACGCGGGCGCACTTCGGCAGATTCATGGAGTTGCGTGTCAGTGAGAGAGTGTCTGTGGTGGTGAAAAAAACAAAAAAAAAAAAAAAAACAATTTTGCGACGCAGAAAGCCACTTCGAGGAACAGAAATGTGCGACCGCCTCTCCTCTCATGGACGCCAACGCCAACTATTGCGAGCGAGCGAATGCGCGATGAGACTAGTGCAAACTCTTGCGCCAATGCCCGTTCACAGAAGGGTCGAACGTCAAAATGATTGAATTCCGTAGTTGAAAAGCCGACTTAGTCTCCGGTGGCCAAAGCGCCAGCCATTCGCGATCAAAAACAATTGTAATCAGCGTCACCGATTAGAGTAACGTTGCTGTGCTAGACCGCCCGTGGCTTTTTTTTATTTCGCTCCAAGATGACACGCAGAGCGATTATCATTCCGACTTTCACTTCCATATTGAGAACACGTCGCGCTGATCGAAGAGCAGCCAACAGAGGACCAAAACGATCGAAGCTAGCTACGTTGCCACGAAACAACACAGACGATGTGATAGGCGTCGGCCAGACGATTAAACCATTTTGTTCCTTTGTCAGCGGATCAAACGTTACCTCCCGTTAAAAATAAGCCTTTAGTCTGGCTTGGACCCTCGGAGTGGGTTCCTTCGGGAGGCTCTAGACACTTTGTTTATTACCGGATAGTAATTTTTAATTGTAAATCATCAAACTCTTCCAGATAGGAGTAAATGATTCTAGTTAGCGTTTTATATGATCTCTTTCTCTCAATATTTACGATTATTATTACGATTAATGCTATGCGCAACCTGTGCCCTGTATTTTTGTATATTTTTTGCCTGCAGATATTCCTATTGATACTTCCCTCGTTCGCCCCTCCCCCTTAACGTCCAGTCCAGCCGCACCCTCCCCCACCCACCAACCCAGTCCGCCCCGTCCCCCTCTTCGCACCCAATTCAACCGACCGTTTTCCAACTTCCGTTTGTTCTCTTCTTTTTTAATCGATAAACTTTATCAACAGATATAATCAGGCACTTTTTCCAATTTTCTTATTCGATATTTTAAAGGCAATTAATGAAATTTCTAGACAAATTTTAGACGCGAATTTATGTTTTCATTATAAATTTTAGGGTTGTCCATAATTTAACGGAAGATCGAATTGCGTTGGCTTAAACAATGTAAAAACGATGGATATTCAACTTCGTATTTGTTGAGCCCTTTTGTTAGCATATCGCTAATTGAATTGGAAGAGAAATTGATACTGACGTTTTTTAGGTGTAGAGTGGCAAATATTGCAAAAATGCTAAATAAAATGTATAGTAAGCGTTAGTCAAATACGGTAAGAACTATTAATCGTTTTGTGTAATTAATTGTTAAATATCGCAAGGGATTACAAAAAAAAAAAAAAAAAAAAAAAAAAAAAAAAAAAAAAAAAAAAAAAAAACAAAAAAAAAACAAAAAAAAAACATTCATGCGAGCTGAATTATGGGCAACCAGAGGCAACAATAATTATCGTTTAATACTATGCTGGCTTCCTGATCCTTCAACTTAGTTTTATCCAAGGTCTTAAATTTAATACCCTAATATTACACTAATGACGACGATAATGAATATTAATGCCATACATGTTCTGTGATAAGTCCATTGTAACAATTGCAACTGTATCTTTACTCCTGCTCTTGAAACTTAACGCCACGTCCTGATTAGTCGATCCTGGCAGCCAGTGAAAATATCCATTAAGTATCGAGCTGTGTCGGACGGCCCCATGAAATAGAAGTCGCTAAAATCTCTAATGTACATAATATCTATATTTTGTAAGAATCAAACTCAGCTTCAGCATAATATGCAATTGATTGAAAACATTAGAAATCCTCTTGTAATAATCTTGATTATCGCATGTTCCTTTTTCTGAAAGACCAAGGTGTTTTAGTTTGCGCAATGTGATAATTAAATTTTAGACTTAGTATCGCTATGTGTGTGACTAAGAGTTTTGTAAATTTTCATTGACTCTCGTGTATAGCGTTTATATGTGTAAATTTACGTTTATCAAACTGAAGCTTATTTTAAAGGAAGAGAAGTTAAGGAACGTGCACATATAATTGAACCTTAAATTGATCTGTATATTTGTATTTTGGGACTGTCCGACAAACGATGAAGTTTGTAATAATCAACGATTTTCTTAAATGATAATATTGTTCGAATGAAAGTTATTGTTTAATGACACCGATCTGCAGCAAGAATATATGAGCGTATGACTGGATAATTTGATAAACTAAGTACAAGTAAGACAAATGTTACCTCATCATGGAATTCAGTACTAATGTACTATGGATTGCCGATGTTTCTTTGTCCAATGCACTTCCATATTTATGTTGCATTTAACTTTGAAGCTTTTTGTTAAAAACATTATGACAGCGGCAGTCCTTGGTGCAAAGCACTGCTCATCAGTACCAGCTCATACATTCATTTTTCCATTATTTTAAGTCATTGCACCACATCAAATAAATTACATTTTCATTATAAAATATGTGATAATTATTTATACCCACTTTCCAACAAAATCTTTCAATTGAAAAGTAACATACAAAAAGAACTACGGCATAGCAATAGAAATACGATTCATGTATGTAAAGAAAAAAGTCAACAATAATTTTATTTCTCTTTGGATCTTTTTTATGATAATAAATAATTGAAATCTCAACTTTACATGTTTGCCACAATAACTATTTCGTGTCACTTATACATATTGATAAAAAATATATTAATTAGAAATTTTCAGCTCGTTAATGTGATTAGCGCTTCCACAACATTTCCCCTGTGCTCTCTTAATGTTTGTTCGGCTAAATTCCTATTGATTTCCATTTCCTTCATCTGCACGACAAACAAAGCATATTAAGTCCTTAAATTTTATAAAATGCAAGATTTTCATTGCCCTCTAGGCTTATTTACTTACAATTAAGTCAACATCTTCCTTATTAATGGAAATTTTTAAAAGTTCCTTCTCTTTAGCTTTCTTTTCTGCCACTTCTTTATTACGTCGATCTCCAATAATGCTCATTGCCTATATGCAAACGGAGGATAATAATTAAATTAACAAAGATATCATATTCTTATAATCAATACGCAGATTAATATAATGATCGTACATATATTAAAATAATGGTCTTCAATTACATTCAGTATGTTGAAAAGAGTCGATATTATATTCAGTCTAATGCGTTTAAATGAGCTTTATAGGTTAGTGTACCGACGACGACGCATCGTTTTCAAATAAGATTTTGCAAATTGTTATCAATGAAAAGGTAAACGCAAAGTACATTTCACGGTACTTGGCATTCTAATTTTGCATAATTTCGGGCAGCATTGCCTTCAAAACGTCCTCGTCGCATTAAAACAAAACTTACACTCGTAAAACCTTCGGAGGATGATATTTCCCTTTCCTCGGCATAGTCTGTAACTTTTTCCAAATCTGCAGCTCCACTGTCATACTTTGCCGTCCTCTTTTGTGATTTTCCTTGCTGGATCTCGTCCGAATCACCGTTCACGTCTTCATCAGCCATGATTTATTAGAGACGGCAAAACAATGATCCCGATGACGTTCCGGAAAATCAAACGTTCAATCAGTGCACTTTTCTCGTTTCATTCGGTCGCTTAGCGTACGTACTGCTGGATCGAGGAAAAAGTTTATAATTATTTCTCAGATACAGACGTTTAATACGTGACTTGTTAACGGAAAAGTGAACTCGCGTCTCAACAAATGCCGATTCTATTAAACTGTAAACTATTAACCTAAGCAGATTGCACGCAAGGCTCTTACTTTATTTTTGTCGATCATTTCTTAATGTTGGCAATGGAGAATAAATCGCACGAGGTTACGATCTAGTATGATCTACAAGTGCAGACAGCAAACCATTTTTATACACTTAAATCAAACTGGGATGGGTAGTAGATGACGTTGCGGTAATTTTGGTTGAGCGCATGCGTAAAGTTGAAAACAACTGATTTTCTTTATGGAATTGTTTGTTGATTTTCATGTTTATACGCTCTTAGACGACTTAGGCCGGCATAAAATGTCTCAAATTATCCGCGATTCGAATTAAGGAAATGTTCATGACATACTGTTGTCGGATCCTTCTTTTATATGTTAACCGAATTGTATTGCCATTTTATTATAAGATTATTAAGTAATGGATAAAAATTATTTGCAAGATATAAATTCAATATACTTTTCAAGACTATTTCCATTTAATGATCTTTATAGATGGTTGAGTTATGGCGAAGGTAAAGTTGTTATAGTATGATTTGTTATAAGACTGCACGTATTAATATTATAAATAATGCAAGTATCATTACGTATATTTGTACTTATTCATAGAGAAAACATTTGCTTGTCGAGAATTTGCATTAAATTTTCAAGGTGATAGGTATTTAAGAAACCAATCGTATCAGAAAATTTGTGATCTGAAACGCGCAATAAAGATAAATCATCCTGTTAAAATCGACATTGGTGCTGTTTACAATATTCCGTAAGACTTGATTTCATCTAATGCATCTACGTATTGACATATATGTAATCATGTATATTCTCTATTATGTGTAATTTGAATTACAAATTTTTAGGCCTGCAATTTATAAAGTCGATTCGATATTTTATTCCGAACAAAAGGAACTGATATTCGATATCGATGCCACGGATTACGACGAAGTGAGAACTTGCTGTTCGGGAGCGGACATTTGTCCAAAGTGTTGGAAGCACATGGTAATAGCCTTAAAAATTTTAGATACAGCATTAAGAGGTAGCGTGTTTGCCTTACTAATTACTCGATTAATTAATTCTTAAATAAGTAATAGTCGCTTGTGCCTATTAAAACCAGCGAATCTTTTAACGCAGAAGATTTTGGATTTGACCACATACTGTGGGTATTTTCTGGTAGAAGAGGAATCCATTGTTGGGTGTGCGACAGGAAGGCACGATTGTTGAGAGGCAGTGGTAGAATCGCTATTGCTAATTATTTGCAATTGGTGACCGGTGGTAATTATAAGAAGAAAAAGGTGGAGATAAAGGAGAGAATTCATCATTCCGTTAAGTAAGTAAAAGTACCGTTAATCACGTTTATTCAACAAAACAGTGCAGTTCATTATGAGTTTCAATCATTGCGAGTATTTTATTTATAGAAGAGCCCTTGAAATCATAGAACCGGTGTTTGTAAAAATGTGCGTGGAAGAGCAGAATATGCTAGGTACTAGCGATGGGATAGCAAAATTTTTAGGAATTATCGATAAAGAGGAGATGCGTACTATCGTGCAAAGGATATTTGAACAATATTCGACGAGCCTTACCAAATGGGAAGCATTCGTGCATTTCTACAGACATCAACTTCAATCGGTCAGTTCAATTTATGAGTATAATTTTCAATATTTTCACATTAATAAATGTTGATCGATACAATTATTACTAAAATAACCTTAGGAATCCGAGGACTGGAGCAGAACGCCGTTTCTCATAGAAGAAATCATGATTCAATATGCATACCCACGATTAGACATTAATGTATCCTTTGGAATAACTCATTTGCTCAAGTCACCCTTCTCTGTTCATCCAAAAACTGGCAAAATCGGCGTTGTCTTAAATCTTGAAACTATTGAAAAGTTTGATCCGAATAATGTACCAACTGTTTCGAAATTAATGAAGGAGATCGACGCATTCGACGTAAAGATGAAGAAACAAGGAATGTCCAATCACGAACTGAAGAAAGTAGATGATATTGAAAAAACTAGTCTTTGCGAATACGTGCGTATATTTCACGAATTTGTGGATAATCTTGTATATGCAAATAAGGAAAATGTGGCAGCGTAAATTAAATCAGTCGATAGATGAATAACTTCTTTACTTTTTTGATTATATATTCATCGGTAGAAGCACTTGCTTCCTACGTGCTTGTCCTTACAGATTTATAAAATTCAACTTTCTCATCGCTCTCTAAGGTTAAGCAATGAAATTAATACAAATCCTCACTAGATTTTTTTACTACGACAACTTTAGGTTCCTATTTTATAAGTATTAATAAACAAATTAATATTTTCTAATCGCATCGTGAATACGTAGATTATATTTTTCTACTTAAATTGTTATTGGAAATATTCCAATTTTGTTGATCAATGATATCTAATCCATGTACCACATGAGACTGACATTTAAACAAATGTAATAAGGTAAACAAACACAAATGTATGAGAAAAAAAAAAAAGGAAAGAAAGTTAGTTATATTGTCAAACGAAAATATCGTTCACGGAGCAGCCGAATATGTTTCAAATCTGATCCAATGATCTGTTTCAATGATCCATTACAAAGTTTGAAAATAGCGCAAAAGAATGTAATACATTGGCCCTGTTATAATTAAAATGATTAAGAATCAATACGGCGAAGTAGAAGGATCATGTGCTTTACAGCCGAACAACGGCGATAAATTGCCATTGCAGCCCGGATTATCTCATCCTTAGTCTCAATACGCCCAAACAACTCATATATTATAATAATAATAATTGCTCTTTATTTCATTTTTATTGAAGCACATAAATGTGACAATGCTGCTTTATTATAATCAGATAAGCTACAAATATTTATCTCGTCTTAATCGTTAACGCTTAAGATCATTACACGACATTAAATATTCAATTACCTATCTCATTAATACAATAATACAACTTTCTCCGATCTAGCCATTATGGGGGGTGGGTCGGTTTTTTCTTTCTTTATACATCTGTTTTATGAAGTGTATATGAAGAAGCTCAAGTCACTCGTCGCCTTCTTATTACACCCCATCGTGCCCTTATATTATCCCCAACAGATTCTGGTTTGGTACCGTCGAACCAACGACTTGCGCAGCCTATGGTGAACCCACGGATATGCCACCAAATAGTTCAGATTACGGGATCGAAGAGATTTTTATTTACCAAATATTAAAAGGCAAATAATAAGGCTCGGGTCGTTCGAGCGTCGCGCGCCAATCGTTGCTCGTCCTACCACAGTACCACAAATCCGGCGCACGTGAAATTCCTGCGGCGGCGCGTCCCCGACCAACCCAAGAATCCATGATCTACAGATGTCGACATAATCAACCGCGAAAAACCAAGGTAGCGAAGATCTATCCGAGATATACTTATCGACGGGAGAGTCGAGGAAGGTTTCGAGTGTTGCCACCTTAAACGCTAGTTGGCATGCTAATGTTGGCAGGTTCGAGTCGTTTATCCATTGGTATTGCTATTCTTAGTTATTCATTCGGTTCCTAAAATATATTTTGTCGTGAGTGGTGAGATAACCGTGTTTGGTCATCGTTCTCTAACTAAGTAATCTATCGATAATTAAAAAAAGTAATTTAGTTATTATTAATTATAGAGTTAATTCAGCAATAATGTCGGAAATATCGTTAACGGAGCAGCCGAATATGTTTCAAATAGACTTGAATCAGCTTGATTTACAACAACTTACGATGTTTAAGCAGCAATTGGATCAGTCGCTTTCGGTATTCCAAGATTCGCTGCAAAGTTTGAAAATAGCGCAAAACAAATTTCAGGAATCTAACGACTGTCTCGATAAATTTACGCCAGATACTAAAGGTATTGCATATTGAAATTTCGTTTATTTTAGTGAAAGGGCGAACGTTTAAATTATTATTGGCTTATTTATTCTTTCTTTTTAGGTTAGGAAATGTAAAGTCTCGGATGTTTATAGCCTTATTATCGAAGGTTTTAGGATTCCTTTGGCGTTAAGCGTGTACCGTGGTCTATTATTATTTTTTTATTATTTTATAATTAAACGTGATGGACGTTAATTTATCGTACCTAACTCTTATGAATCCCGAATATCCAGGTTTCGCTGCAGTTTATTCATTTGTTTTTTAAAGTATCAGTCGAAGAATCAGTCGATAATTAATTATGTTTATTGATTAACATTTGCGAGTGTATTTCTGAATATGATAAGTATTTATTTGCCTTAATTAAGTTGAAATTCAATTTCATTTGACGTTCATATTGACTTTATATACCATCGCTGTAATATGGAATAAATTACGTATTAGTAGCTTGGACTAATGTAAATAATTCGTTGGCTCGTAACTCGATCTTTGTATGCTCATTTACTAAATTGCGAATATTACATAAGGTAAAATTGAAAATTTGAAGTATAAACACGCAAACAATATGTATAATGAAATTGGTAAAAAGAAATTATTAATATTATCCTAAGATTACAATTGCGCTAGTCGGTTACACAATGGCAATCCATAAGTTTTCGAATTACTCTTTCAGGAAAGGACATCTTAGTACCATTGACCGGCTCGATGTACGTACCTGGAAAATTGATCAATACAGAAAATGTCCTTATTGACATTGGCACCGGATATTTTGCTGAAAAAACGATATCAGAGGCAAAGGAGTATTTTAAAAGGCGAGTCTCGTATGTTACGGAACAAATAGAACATATTCAGACAATAGCTCAAGAAAAAAGCAAAATTAGAGAAATAACTATTGACATTATGGAAACGAAACTTCAGAATTTACAAAAAGATGCTGCACAGCGAGCATAAGAGGCATATTGCATTTATTTGTGATTTTTACACAGAGAAGAAGAGAATAGTTGAATGAAAAATCAATGAACAATATTTAAGAACAATGTTAATTCATGTGATATTGTTAAATCATTTTCTTTTCTACTGTAAGCTATGTATCACAATTTTCTCACTGTTACACACAGTTTTAATCATATAATAATTTAAAATAATAATTGATATTACATTAGCTTCAGATAAATCGAATATTTTCTCTTCAATGTATGTAATATATTATTTAAAATTTGAAATTGTAACGTCTGGTTTATAGTTAAATAACACAAGTATTAAATATTTGTATTTCATTGCGCAGCGAGTGAATGTTTGGAATGAATTAAAAACAAATTTTTTTTTTTTCATGGCTATTGTCATTGAATGATTACAAAGACACTCGTATAATATTTATTTATCGAAATTATTCACTTCTCAATAATTTTCGTATCGTTTATTCTTTTGTTATAACAATTTAAATAAAGATATACGTAAATTTAAACTGTATTGTACGAAAAAAAAAAAAAATATATAAATATATATATATATATATATATAAGTATTGGTAAGGATTGGAAAAAAATTGAGTCCGGGTTGTAGCAGTGAACGTAACAAAGGTTTTATTTGTTAGTCATTTAAACAAGATTCCATGGGAAACAATAACAACATTTCGTCTTAAGAGCTCGATAGGACGTACTTTGCGTAGGCAGCGATTACTTCTGCCAGGTACCAAAGAAAGCTGTCAGGTGAATAAAAAATATCCATCGGGCATATATCTTTCATGCGCTCAAAACGAGATATTTTTGATATTCTGAGGGAACATCTTTCATCTACTTATATAATGACATATTATTTGGATTACAAATTTGCGCCGTAATGCATGCGCGTCTCGCGTTATACGTACAGACATTTTTCACTAAATTAGTATTCTATTTACACAAATAACATACGTTCGATAAGTGAATCGCGGAAACACTTTCTCGCTTCATCATTACAGTTCACAGTCGTTCATTCTATTATATTCCGTCCTCTCTTATGATCTTAACTCGAGAAATTTAAAAACTTTACAAATGACTTCGTATTGCACGCTTCCTCTGTTTTTTCTCATTTTTCTTCTCCGCCCTCTACCCCTTCCTCGCACTCTCTCTCTCTCTCTCTCTCTCTCTCTCTCTCTCTCTTTCTTTCTTTATCTCCATCTCCTTCACTCTGTCCTTTCAAACTCATTCGAAGTTATCCAGGTTTTATTTCAATTTTTCTTCTTATAGATGTTATCTCATACTGTCTAGTAATATATTGGCAATCATCATCCCTATAAACCATCCTTCCAGGCTAATTGCTATGCTACCTGAAACAAATAACAATTAGAATAATAAGTAAAAACTCACGAGGTTCTTTTCAATTATACACACATGCACGCACACAAACACACACATATTATGGTTAATTAGCATTTAAGAGCTTCGTTTAGCGTTTTTAACGTGTACATAAAAATGCACTAACAATTACTTGTAGTAAAGAATTTTAAAGACGATTAACTTGTTCTTTGCTGTCTCTGTACGCGTTAAGGATTGTCAAATTATAAAAAATAGGTAAAACATATTTTGAGATAACGTTTGTTAATCTTGTAGAAACGTTGTGCAATATAATATTTTGAATTTTGTTGTAATATTTCGATGGACAATTTCGACTTATTCAGTTTTATTATCTAGGCTATACGTATATGTATGCAAATGGACAGACAATGATAATATATACATATATACACACACATATATATTTTCTCGTTCTTTTACGGATGGAAAATATGTATGTGAAATATTGTTGCACTAGTGAGTCATATATATATGCGTTAGTAATGACGACGTTAAATACAACAATGAAATTGAAAGCAATGTAATTAGCAGCTCCCCCCCCCCCTATCCACCCCCCCCCCCCCAATCACGCTGCCGGAGGATAGCATTAATTAAAAAAAAATAAAAAAAAAAAATTGAAGAGATAGAACCAACGTGTTTTTACGTCGAAATCGGCTCGCGTATCATTAATAATAAACGTAAACGTAAAAGACTTTATTGGCCATCGTAGACTTTTATCGTTTCCTTCGACTTACTGGTTAACGAGCATCGAGACCCAATTGGGCCTAGGAGAATCCATTTGAAAAAGCCAATAGGCGAGAAAACCATTTGATGCAAAGACTTCGACTTATATAATAAAAATGGCCCTCTTACCACTGTGAGAGGACTCGCGTGTCCCAAGCACGGATGCGAGTCTCGGGCGTTCTTCCTCCAGGACCACAATAGCTTGCTCTTTATAAAGATGGAAGATGCTGGCGCGGCAGATAATCTGCAGCGTGCCGTTTCTGAAGCTATCGGGGATGAGCTCGAATTCGAGTCCGGCGATAGCGATCGTTCGATTGTCGTTCACATTTCTCATGGGAATGTTTCTGACGTAGCTCGCATTGACCTATAACATATATGCACAAGCACAACACACGCGCGCACGCACACACGCACACAAAATTTCATTTAGTGAGTTTCTTATTCGGAGCTTAGCGACGGATCGAGCTGTCGGTTTTTTCGTTGATATTGGCGCTGCTGCTGCCGTTAGCGGTGCGTAACAAATTTTCTCGGATTTCGCGATTGTTGGCTAATCGATATAATCGTGCGAATTATAATTGACGTTGGCCGTCGTATAGGGTTTTGCTTTTAAAAATCCGCACCGAACGATATAAAATTATGATTAGATTTTATTCGCGGATGTCAAAGAACATTGTCCCGAATCAAACCTAACAGGCGCAATACTAAGCTGCGATATAATTTCATACATTTTACTGGTTTTCAATATTAAACTAATCTGCTAACATTCAAATTTTGGTCTCATTTAACAATATATACTAAATCAATAAATTTAGCCAGTATTTTGTCAAACAAAATATATAAACGGATTCACGTATAAGCGAATATATATGTAGGATAAATTCTTTCGTATTGTATGTTAAATTTTATCGCACAATTAGTATTACTTCTGATGTTGAAAGATTATAATTAAATATTGGCTTATACGATATATATATATATATATATATATATATATATATATTACGCTCAATGTCAATTTGATTGCTTTTGTACGCTCAATGTCAATTTGATTTCATCTTTCTATAATATGCTGAAGTTAACAAATTATAAGGACGATAAATGAAATGCACGTTATGGGGCCACGCTGTTCGTAAATTAAGTATAAAATACATAATACACGAATCATTTTGCGTCTCCAGAATTACGAGTAAACATATCAGGTAAAGCTCAGTTTGTACAATTCAGAACGATTAGGATGAAATATAATTAATGGATTAGGCAATATGGTGCGTGCAGTTGTTCAAATTTCATACGTATTAGATTATTTTGTAAAAGCAATCTTTCGCTCACACTTTACACAGTATTAAAATATTATATTTATAATCGTTAACTAATATCGTGACTAATTTCCAAATATACCTTAGAAAAAAAAAAAAAAAAAAAAAAAAAAAAAAAAAAAAAATAATAATAATAATAATAATAATAATAAGATAAAATAAATAAATAAATAATAAAAAAAAACAGAATAAAGCAACAAAAAAGCAACAAAAAAGCAACAAAAAAATAAAAAAACCTAGAAAAATACATGCAGTATAAATGAAACGGAAACCACACGGTAACATTTCAATCATCTCGAATGGCTAGTACACGGAGAAAAAGCAATCATCGATCGATCATTATTTTTAATGTTCGTAATGTAAATAATAGCATATTAACGAACATATGTATTATTTTATAATTACTTCGGTTTCCTTATATTTATAAGGAAAAATCTTATTTCATTTGTAGCATTTGTAGTGACTAATGGAAACCCGTTAAGTTATCATACAATCGGTATATTATTAATGTTTATATATGTAATAATGCTTCCTTTAATATTATTGAAGTACAATTGAAGTCCCAGTATTTTAGGGCCATTTCAATTCTTTTTATATTGAGACATAACGAATTTCTGCACAATCGTCCCACCCCAATTTTAACATTTATTTATATCTTGTATATAAGCCCGAAAGTATTTCCACGTAAGCTTATGCCGATGAAAAAAGTATGAAATTAGGAAACAAATAATTCTTTGATACTGTAATACAATCTTTTCGTTTCTTTTTCAATCATTAATGTGATATTTTCTTTAACCATACTATGTGTATTGCCAGATTATACGATGGAGGTCTTGTGGGCCGTCATTACAGAAATATCGATGATTATTGATAATATTAGTACGTATGAGTAAAAGATACAAGATTGGAATGATTGAACTTCAACTTCACTACTTAAATTATAATTTCGTAATCGAGACATGCAGTTGTATGTGAAGAGGAAATTATCATTAAAACATACTTTTACTTTTGTATAATATCTCCTACTTTCCATCAACTATATATATATATATATATATATATATATATATTTAAAAGTGTTATTTCTGTATTTGGTTTGAAGTTTTCTAAAATGGATTTTTTTGTTTCACAATATTGATTATTTGCTCTTACGAAGGATAAATTGAGTTTCTTATATTTATAGAACATTTAATTTGTGATTGATTTATTATTTTTTTTTTCAAGATTAATTTTACAATTTGAAAAGTCGATGCCAATAATAACGTTATAATAAATAAATGTCGAAGTAGGATTTAATATCTTATTAAAAGAAGACGCGTGCTTTTTGAACAAAAATTGGAGCTTAATATTACATAGAGAATTAATATTATAATAAAGAAATTTTTTTTTTTTTTTTTTTTTTTTTTTAATTATTCATGCGAAATAATTACAAATTCTTGTAGTCTCTAGATATTGGATTGAAGGACTTTATTTTTGCTTTAGAGAATTTAAATAAGAGTTTCTTTGAATAAATAAATAAAAAAAAAGAAATTCAATTTTCTCTTTTATTCTTGTTTTTTTTTTTTTTTCATTCCTGTTCCCTTTCTGGATATATATTCGTAATTTTATGTGTAACTCAATAGTGGATGTAAGAGACTTATAATTAGTAAGATACAGACGTTAATGTTCAAAAGTGTTTCATGAACTTAATTTGTATAATTCCTTTGATACTGTTGTAATTCAATATCGTAGATATTTGACTCTTTTTTGAACATTTGTGAGCTTAGATTGTGCAGTGAGGATAGTAAAAGAGATGAATATATGGTAATTAGAAGAATAACTATTCTATTGTGTTCGAGTTGTTTATTCTTTTTAATGTGATTAATGTATCTCTTTGATTTGGTTAAAGTATAAAGGAAAAATTATTATTTTTCACAACATATATATATATAATTATTTGCATAGGTTTTTTTATGAATTATTTTCAATATTTTCAATATTTTTAATATTCACTTACAAGCTTTATAAAAAAATATAGAATTTATGTATTCATCTTCAACTTATTTTAAATACTCGCGTTTCAATTTTGCTTCACGTGTTATTTTCATTATTATTGGTAATTGAATATTGTGCTTACGTATCCGAGTAGTTTAAGTAGCTTTTAGATCGATACATTTTAGTTATTTACTTTAACGTAGTTTCTTCTAATCGATCCGTTATTATTAAAATTAACGAATAAAGCTTTTAATCGGGCCTATGGAGCAAATTTCTTTCTAATGTATTGATTTTATTTCATTTCTTTCTTTCTTTCTTTTGTTTTTTTGTTTTTTTTTTGTTTTTGTTTGTTTTTGTTTTTAATTTCATTAGAGAAACATGTAGGTAAACGTAAAAAAGCAATAGATATATTTTAATTTAATGTAATTTCTTCGCTTTTTGCATAATAAATATTTCAGAATTTATTCGAAACATCGGTTTTCTATGGCACAGATAAGAAGTGATTAACAGTTCTTAATCGAGGAAATCCTTTGTTAATAAATTTACACGGATGTTTCCTCTTAACTATTTGTATGTATAAATCTTTTTTAATTAACATATCTGACAAATTTTATGAAATTTAATGGATAGGTTGATGTAGTTAAGGTAAGCAGTATCATCTAATTAATGTTATCAATGATGCATTAATAATATCTAAGAAAGTCGTAAAAATTTGTTGTTTGCTCTTAAAATCTTTTACTTTAAGGGCAAATGTCAATGTTATCTGTATACTACCGGACATTAAATAGCTTTTTCGGAATCCTGGATTGTAAGTAAGTGAGTGGTTTCGTTAATTTCAGATTAAATAGGGCTTTTTATGGGAATCTCGAACACTTTATGGGCGCAAGTGGCAAGGCTTATAGGTTTAAAATTTATTTTATCTGACTGTTAGATAAAGTGAGCGAATGACTTTATCCAATTAGTAATGTAATCACAAATCACATGAATTTTATTCGTTTAAGAAATCCAATAAAATTACTCTATATTTTATTGGTAACATGATAATCTATTCGTCAAGCCGAAGCGAGCATTTCCTTTTTCTAACTTTAAAAGCTATAATAAATTTCCTAAATTAGAATAGACTCTGTCCAAGAATTCATTTTTATTGCATCGAGGAAACCAATCCTCCGAATCAGAGGTTGGTCAAAAAAAAAAAAAAAAAAAAAAAAAAAAAAAAAGGGCTTATTTTCTTAAAAAGTGGATTTATCTTAAGTGTTAGAATTTATAGTATCAGCGGATAATTTTATCTGTTTATTCTTTAATGCTTTTATTATATTCCAAGCTAAATTACTGTTGAAGAAAAATTTTATAGTTATAGTAAATAATTTACTATCCTCCTTCTTTGTGTTGGGCTTGGATTTTTGTAAACGTAATATTAGTTTATTTTAGTTTCTTTGAAAATTCCAATCTCTTTATTTTAATACATTTTTAGCCTATGTAATATTTTTTTTTTTTTTTTTATCATTATTTACGCATAATAAATATGAATGTTTTATGCTATTTGCCAATTTATGAAAATACGATAATGATAAATAAAGAAAGTTTTAGAAAATTAAAGAAATTACGCAATTTGTTATTTCAAAGATTTTTATGCATTTTTAGTCATATTTGTGTTTGCCATCAATTTAGATTCTTCGTAATTTTTTTTTGAAAAATATTTAAAGCTGCTAAAATCGTAATGTTGAGCAAAGTAGATATCTCATTATGAGTATTAGTTTAATTTTATTTAAAAAATGTACTCTCTATTACCAGCCGTGGATATGCATATTGCAAATAAAACAATTTCTTATTACTTTTTAATATTTCGAAATTATTATTTACACTTGTTACTTTACAATTTCACAAAGCGAGCAAGTTAAGAGCAATACACTGTCAATATTATTTCAATGCTACTTCTTACGATATTTTCTCTTTTACCATAAGCATCTTGACTCATATTAATTTCGCTGTGTATAATACTTTAAAATCACGGTTAAATGCTTTTCATGTAAATTTAAAAAATTTCCATTTAATTTTCAATGTTGAATAAGTTATT